GGATCTGGACAGGCTGGATTGATGGGCCGAGGCCAGTTGTATGAGATTCAACAAGGCAAATGCTGGGTCCTGCACTTGGGTCACAACAACCCCATGCAACGCTACAGGCTTGGGGAAGAGTGGCTGGAAAGCTGCCTGGCAGAAAAGGACCTGGGGGTGCTGGTTAACAGCCGGCTGAACATGAGCCGGCAGTGTGCCCAGGTGGCCAAGAAGGCCAATGGCATCCTGGCTTCTATTAGAATAGTATGGCCAGCAGGACTAGGGAAGTGATCATCCCCCTGTACTTGGCACTGGTGAGGCCACACCTCAAATACTGTGTACAGTTTTGGGCCCCTCACTACAAGAAAGACATTGCGGTGCTGGAGCGTGTCCAGAGAAGGGCAACAAAGCTGGTGAAGGATCTAGAGAACAAGTCTTATGAGGAGCGGCTGAGGGAACTGGGGTTGTTTAGCCTGGAGAAAAGGAGGCTGAGGGAAGACCTCATTGCTCTCTACAACTACCTGAAAGGAGGTTGTAGCGAGGTGGGTGTTGGTCTCTTCTCCCAAGTAACAAGTGAGAGGACGAGAGGAAACAGCCTCAAGTTGTGCTAGGGGAGGTTTAGATTGGATATTAGGAAAAACTTCTTCACCGGAAGGGTTGTCAGGCATTGGAACAGGCTGCCCAGGGAAGTGGTTGAGTCACCATCCCCAGAGGTATTTAAAAGACGTGTAGATGTGGCACTTAGTGACATGGTTTAGTGGGACTTGGCAGTACTAGGTTAATGGTTAGACTCGATGGTCTTAAAGGCCTTTTCCAACCTAAATGATTCTATCACTCTGTGATTCTATGATGTCCTCCAACAAAACTGTAGTATGTACTACTTCTGAGAAATAAAGCCAAATTAATCTTTACCTTAGGCAGAACGTCCATGAAGACGAAAAAACTAATCTCACATGACCAGTTATCTGATGCTGTTACTTAGAAGAACAACTGAATGGTAACTGGAAGACAAATGTTTTCATATTATTTAAAGGAGACTACGTACACTGTGCTCAGTCTGCAACTACTTCCTGCAAAAGTAGAAACCACACTGCAAAAGAGATATTTAAATGTTTAACTCTGGGGAAAAAGAACACTTGTACCCAATGTTCCCCTACCCTGCTAATACTACCAATTCCCAGGTTCAAAGTTTTATGCCCAGTAAATCCACTACAGTAAAAGCAGTGGTTTTTTCCTTCTCTGTCCTTCCATTCACTCTCTCATCCTCAAGCTATCCACTATGAAACACCTGGATAGGAAAAACTCGATTTCCAATTACTGCAAACAAGAAGGAAAGTTTTCCATAGGCAAGCCTAAGCATCTCTGCCTCATTTGCTATTCAGGGACAACTACACTAGTGATATCCAGAACACCTGTCACAGCAATGAAAGCCAATAAAGACTTTGTACCCCTCCAAACAAAGTACACAACAAGTAAAAAAATCCCCTTCTATTTAATGCATTCTACAACACCCTTCCTACCTGCTCCCTCTACAGCCCCTTGTAATAGCCATTTATCCTCAGGAAATCCCAAAACAGCTTCCAAGACAGGGGAGCTCTTTATCTATAGCTGGAGAAATCAGACAAAGATGCCAGCGACCTACCCAAAACTCATACAGGAAGTCTGTCAGAAAGAAAAAGAAAGGAGAGATTCAACTCAGTTTTCCAGCTACTTGGTGATGATCCTTCATTCTCCAACTGAAAGGCCCTAGGATCCTATGCCAAGGGGCATAAGCACATCAGACAAGCTCAAAAAACCTGGAGTTTCAAGTTTCAGCTAGACCACAGACCATACAATAGCTTTGTTCACAGTGAAGAAACGGATGTTGTTACTGTGGGCATCACAAATATGCAAAATACCTACAAACAAATTGCCGAGAGCATTTTCTGAATAAATACACAACTCCCACAAGAGGATGTACCCTTCCAATTAAGGAATTACAGGAAGAGTTTTCCTGCTTTTCACACTTTCCTGCCAGATGCGCAGTATGGGGAGAGGGTCAGGGAAACATACTTTTATTCTTCACCTTCTTTTTTTAAAATCTCTTCCTGGCATTCTCTTGTCCTTTATGAACTCACTGGATAGGCCTCAGACTGTTGGGGTTACTCAAGTCTTACAAGTTTTGGACAGAGAAGACAACTTACTTTACACACAATGCTCCCTTCATTGCTGATTCCCTTAGAGCTTGGTACACTAAAAAGCTATGATAAATTTGAAGGTAGTAACTACCTACAAGGCCAAGTGATGGTATGTCCCTTTCAAAAGCACACTGCATATGGGGTGAAGATTAAATATTCTGTCCCTACAGCTTCTCAAATCACTTCCCCTAAAAAAGTACTCTCACGAAGAACCGAATTTTCTACTGTTTTTGTCTTTGCTTTCATTAGGTCTGCTTTAGCCTACTTAAGTAGGCTAGTTAGCAATTTAGTATTTGCTTTGGCTTCTGCACAATTTAAGTTCAGCATAAACCTTTGTTATTATTTCCCATTAAACATCTATCTCAATATATCTGCAATGAAAAAGCACGAAGACTAACAGTGAATAATGTTCTGGAAACCTTTCTTACAAAGAAGGTAGAAGACCTATTTGCATGCTCTCAGTTAGGGAAAAAACACTACACAGATAAAAGTCACTGAACTTCTTTTGGTAGCTCTTTAAAGGTGCCTTAAGCTACCCTGTGGCCAAAATTAGGAAAGTACAGCCAGCAGCAGATAGTCCATCACCACAATCGAAATGGAATACTTGCAGAGAAAAACGTTAGAGGAGTAAAACTAGCAGTGACAGTGTAGTTTAACAAGCCTTTTCTGTACCTTTTATAGCGGCCTGCTCCGTAAAGAAATAAAGGTGTCAAGAGGATGCATTAGAGATATTAAAAAACTTATCTTGCTAAGTTACTTGTACATTCAATCAACCTTCATTTCCTACAAACAGGTGTGCTGATAAGTTTGATTACCTGCCAAAGAAAGAAAAAACTCAAGGACTGTACAACATGTAATAGATATTAGAGACATTTCTAATATCCTAAGACATATATCTTATTTCATTTAATTGCTTCTGCACACTTAGCTGTACTTGTGCAGCAGCAGGGATGTTAAACCAGTATTATGAAAGAGAAAAATTAATTACCACTTTTTCCAGAATGGCAAGTCAAAGAAAAACACAAAAACATTGAGAATAAATAAAGAGAGAAGGTACGGCCTTTAAAACATGTACTTTCCCCCAGTACACACAGATATTTGTTTCCTGAAGCTCTCTTCTTGGTCATCTGTTTGAGAAGACATATTCCAGCATAACATGCTACCATAGTCAATCATTTTCAGAATGTGGCTGAAAGGCAAGATAAGATCACCTATCTACTACCATCACAGCCTAGCCACCCACACAATTTGTACACAAGACAACTCTGAACTTTTTCCTCCAGTACTACCAGGAACAAGGAAATAAAGAACATTCTGCAAGACTTCAGCAAAACTGAGGATAAAAGCTTACTGTAGATTACAAAGTGAAGCTTTTTCTTGTACTTATTTAAGAGTCTTTAAAAAAAGCCACTGGAGCAGATTTCAAGGGACCTAAGTCTCTTTTGCAAAGCTTATGCAGGTTAGCTTTATTCCCTCATTTTATACTCCTTCAGAACTCATTTATGATGCAGACTGTTCTTGGAACAGGCACAAGTTAAGAAAAGGTGATTCTGAATTTCAGTGATGTATCCAACCTCTGGCTTCTGGCAAATGCAAAAATTTGCCTCGTTCATACAAGCATGGACATTAGTCAGCACCTCAGAATCCAGCACAAATGCAACAGCAAGACTGATTTTCACTTATTAATATTACTGCACAGCCATCTCCATGGACGATGTGCAGGCTCTAACCTACTGTGACCGGCACTCCCTGCTCCTGACCCCGGTAATAAAAAAATCTACTTCCAAGCCTAACAAAACAGTGAGAATTCTCCAATATTGATGGTCTTGAAAATGCATACACACAGCCTGACATACCTTGACAATACAAGAGCTACACTACCACAGTTAAAAAAGGCCATTTCACTCCAAAAAGGGAACGAGATAGATGACAGCACCAGCTTCAAATGTATGTTCAAGTAATTTCTTTTGTTGATAGAAAGATGCCCCCGAAAGTTCAGAGCATTTTTCACCCCTGGCTCTGGAGGTACATCTAAGGACATCTCAGCCAGGCTCATGCTTTATACCTGCTCATTTTCTTCCTACAGACACACTTGCTATCTGCCTTCAACAGAAAGAGACAAGTACTTGTCTTAACGTAAAGAAGTGGCATAAGCTATCAGTATTAGCGCACGTATTCCTTCTCTAGCCACCTCAAGTGGCTGAGAGGAGAGCAATCTTAAGTCGTGCCTGTCTGAACAGGGACTTAACACTCTCAGCAGAATTTTCAGGCTGCTTCTTTAGTAAAACCAGGGTACTAAGACCTTCTGACAACCATTTGGCATCAATGTAATTTTTTTCCTACCTCCTCTCAACTTTCCACAGTTCCCCTTCTTGTCTCTGCTCTGAACTATCAGTGTCTTGGTAACTCATTTGTTGTGCCACTCTGTCAATAGTTTTTCTTTTCTACTGTTATGGCTATACAATTTAGAGAATTAATGAAAAGCAGAGACTTAGACTCTTTCATTGCTGATTGCCTAGAATTTCTACTTAGTGCAGAGGCAGTCACAGATACTGCAATCTGATAACTGTTTTAAAGCATTACATTTAGTATCCTTAAAGGCTTACGTGGTGATACGTACAGGGTTTTCTTATGGTGGGGAGGAGAAGAAGGCAGAAAAGGACCTATTTTAAGTTTTGTTTGATTCTCAGAAAAGAAGAGGCTAGCAGTTTTACTTTCTTAGACTACTGCATGGAAGATTCTCAAGCTGCTATACTTCTTAACTGTTAAGGGCTAAGTGACTTACTCTACTGTCTTGGTCTTTCACTTAGGTATGCATACACAGTGCTTAAGAACAATCCATACCTTATTTGTAGCAGTAGCGCTGGATCCTGGGACCACAGGCACATTGGTCACTTGCACTGATAAGTAGTTATTGTCTATGAGGGGCCAAGCACCTTCCACCTTGCATGTCTGGAAGTGATCCTTAAAAGTCCTCAGATGAGGATCACCAAACAAGCCACAAAATAGGTAAGTAGTAGGATGAGTCTTCTCCCCTCCCTGATGTTCTCTGGCTTCTGTGTGGCCACTGTAATTGCAGGGATCATGGGTCACTTCAGGGTTGGTGGAGGATGTGGGTCCATCTTTGGAACAGTTTCTCTGGCTCATGAGGTCGCTGATCCCAAGCACTGCAGAATGGTAGACTAGGTTTCCACGGCATACTTTGGAATTGCGATAGGTACAGGCAGAGTATGCTCGCAGGGCCTTGCAGAACTCCAAATCAAAGCCCTCAAGAGCTGAGTTTAGATGTGAAGTTAAGGATACAAAATCGGTGGTGCACTTCTGGATTCGACAAGGTGTTTGCAGCTGGCAGTCACCTAAGCACAAAACAGATGGCAGAGAGAAATCAAGCAAACCTCCACACCCACAGGTACTGTAGAAAACAACTTCCAGTGCTCAGCCACTGGGGAAACACTACATAATAGAGAAAAAGGGGTTGGGAGGCAGAAAGATAGCAATACAGACCATCTCAAAGGCTGAGATGACCAATGCATGACTTAATGCATTACTTGATATTGTCTAAATGGAAATTAAGAGCACTAACTCCTGCCAAGCATGAGCCCAGCATTTCTTTCCAGATATCAAGGTGATGATGCAATTCTGTGCTTAAGTTAATCACTTAGTCAATCAGCAAGTCTCCATTTAGTCTTTCAGTGCTTTACACAAGTTACCGAACTTTTAAAGAGAATCTTAGCCCTCAGAAGGATGTGGTAAAGGCAGCAAGAGAAGAGATACACATTTAGACAAAAACAGTGAATGAAGCAGAAATCGAAGTTTCTCTTCTAGAAAGCAGGGTGGGGAGAAGGAGGGTGTGGAAGTGCGCAGGCCATAAATTCAGCTTGCTTTACTCCCCTGGCACTGCCATAGCTAAAGCTTCACTGCTTGCTTTCTGGGACTAATGAGTGAGAAAACCCACAGCTGTCTGAAGTGCAAGTTGCCAGCTAAGGAATCCATACACTGCAATACCAGTATCTCTTACAGTGTAATTCAGTAAGACAAGGAGCAAAGAAACCCTCTCCCACGAAAACCTGAAGTACTTATCAGATGTATGCAACAGGTACACAGCTCCCCTTACATGAAGAAACCAGTTAGACCTTATCTGGTCACCTGATTTCCACAAAGAAAGCATAATTACCATCCCAGCAAGCAAACTGGAGTTTTACAGCCCGCTCCTTCACAGCTCTCACTGTCATGACCTGAAATCCTTCCAGATTCTCATGGCAGTTAACAATAGTCTTCTGCAGGTAACTTTCACACAAAAACTCATGAGGAGCGAAATGAAACGAACAAGACTGTACGCTGCACTAAAGGAAACAGAGCCACATGCTCCACGGGGGTTAAAACTAGGAGGACCCCAGTCAAAGGAGAGATCAGGTTCCCTCCCATCCAACGAGCTGAGAACAGCCATAACAAAAAATGGACCTTCATAAAGAATATGTGCAAGACTTCATGCAATAGCTGTCCAAGCACCCAAAACTATCTACTAAAAACATGCTGTGCTTATTTGTTCCTTTCGTGGCCTATAAAATTCAGCTGTGCATACATTCATCTGTAATTTCAAACTGTCATAAAGCAGATTTTGATAACCACAAAAATACTTACAAAGATACATGGAAAAAAAGGAAAATACAACATACACAACAGATATTGTATTCCCTCCCCTCAAGCCCTGCTTTACAATATTTCCCACTTGTTTTGTGTCTCCTCACAGTAAAATAGGGATGGGTCTAATCTGATTTTAACAGCCTAATTAAGATGTTCGTAAACGCCTGAGACATGAAGAGTGGAAAATGGACTGAATAGTAATGTAGCACTTTTCATTTTTAAACACAGTTGTTTTCTGCAATTCACACGGTGATGAGAGAATATTAGCAATTTCTTTGCTTGCCCCTTAGCTGACCCTCCTGTGAGTCAGTACTCACATGACTTACTCTGAATATCCAAACCATGAATTTATAAAGGCAACAGATTTTGCCAGTGATGGGTAGCTAACGCAAATCTCCTGTCAAAATCCCAAGGCAACACAGAGTAGAAGGAGGAAGTCTCTAACCTACAGCCAAGTGTGACCATGAATTGTATGAGTAAGCAGTAAGTTTCTCACTTGATCTTTGTGCAAGTGATACATAGCTTTTCAAAAGAACAGGAAAAAACCCAATCAAATTCTGTGTTTTCAGATACACAAACAAAAAAGACCTACGTCAAGCAAAATGACAGAGGCAACGTTGGTTCAGAGCCTGACTTTCAAAGCATCAAAACTTTTCTTATATTTCCCTTCAGTTAAGATTTGTGGTAATATTTTAATCATATATAAATTAATCTAGCTGAGCAAGTCAGTCAAGTTATCAAACAGCCCAATAAATCTGTCCCTCCACACTCCCTGCAACCTTAGGAAATGTGCTTGCTGCTTTCAGTGGATTCTTGGTACAGAGAGGGGTGAACGAACAGCGATTTTACTAAAATCGGATA